CCTGCCCGTTCACCACTTTCCATGGTGTTGTCCTGATATAAACTCTGGTCTATTAAATTTATATGCGTTTCTTGTAAGCCACTGTGCAGTATTTGCTGTGTAGGGTGCAGTGGCCTCAGTGATCGTCTCTGGAGAGACGACCTGCCAAGCATCTCATTTTGTCTGTGTACATGACTCAGAACTGCCTAAAGCTAATCACTTAAACTGTTCCGCTCACTTCCACTTTGATCTCTGTCATTGCCCTTCTGTCTTGTTCCAGACTGCTGTATGGAACAATAATCTCTCTATTCTATGCACTCCCTAAGACTCTCATCTCAGTTTAGTTATAGTTTCCTTTTCAGATTTCTGCACAGCCTCTTCATAACTACCTTGGAATTTTCAAATCTTTCGTTTTCTTTCCTCAAACATCTTACTTCCTTGGCCATTTACGGGAGTTTGTTTTATTTCTCCAGCACATTGTTTTGACACTTGACTGGGAGTTAATTATTTAATCATTGCACTCTGCTTCCTCTTGTGTTTTGTTTGTCATTTTTATATATATATATCCTTCCCCCTTTCTGACTGTATTAATATGCTTGTCATCTTCTTTTTCAGTTCTCCAGAAGGGTGCACACCTGAAAAGTATCTGTTTCTCCGCGGATGCTGAGACCTGCTGGGTGTTTCCAACATTTTCCGTTTTTGTTTCAGACTTCTGCATCTGCAGTATTTTGCTGTATATCCATTTAAATATTGACTTTAGCACTCCACCCATGTTGGAGCGCATTTGTTCATTCTGCAAGTTGCGTGGTTCTCTGAGTTTTGCTAAATCCTTTCAAATTCTAGCAAACATACATTATGTAGATGTAATACAGTTTTTTTACATACTGTAATCTGCTGTTTGAGATTGCTCACATTTTGCTGAATTGGATAAAGTTCCAGCATTTACTTAAGACATTGAATCATTCTTCAAAGTGGGAGAACACTGCCAGTCTAGCAGAGAAACCTTTTGCATAAGTTCCCCCTGGGTAAATGTGAATGTTTACTGCTTCATAGATTTATAGTCTTTGAATTGGAGCTTCAGACAACCCATTTGATTCCTTTACTATTAATAAAACAAGTTTCATCTTAAGGATGAATTTAAACAAATTTCAGTAGTAGCATTTATCACATGATAGGCCTGGGGCATTGAGGAGATTACTACTTTCTTTGGAGACTTTCATTCTGTGGCCATACCTCAGGCACAGATTTCAGTCGGAAAGTTACTGAAGCTTGCCTAGCACCAGGCAAATTCACCTGCATTCTTTATGCTTTTCTTATGTTACCTTTGAATGAGGGGTAGTTGTTTCTTTCACATATTTAATGAAAATGATTAAAATCAGTAGATTAAGGATCAAATTAATGGCATTTATATCACCAAATATGCTCAGTTGAGACAAATGTAGTTGCAGAAATAATTTTAAAGAAGTCCTACCAAGGGATAAAATGTTGGTCTAACTTAGTTGTACTTGTGGATTCAAGTCTAATCCATTGACTTGGGCACTGACGCCCAGGCTAACACTTAGCTGCACTGCTGGGGCAGTGACATGTATCTGAAGTGTTGTTTTTGGGTGTGGTGTTGAACTGAGGCTTGACCTATCTTTTCAGGTGGACATTATCAAGGTTTTTTTCATATTTTCTAAGCAACCTGTTCAGAAATAATTTACATACCCCTGGATTAGGCGAGACTTGAACCCAGGTCTCGTGGCTCAGAGGTAGGGTCGCTACCACTGCACCACAAGAGATCCTTGTCATCAAGGTTTTTATGCCACTACTTCAAGAAAGGTTAGCGGAATTTTCTCTAATGGCCAGGGTAATTTGTATTCTTCAGTCAGCATTAAAAACATCTGAACATTACATCATTATTGGGTGAAAATCAGTTGCTACCTTTCCTGCAGCAGTGACTGCAATTTAAAAGTCAGCACAAAAATGGTTGGGAGATTCTCAGGTTTTGAAAGCCACTATGTAAATAAAATACTTCTCATCATTGTTTTGCTGTAACCTCAAGTAAAGAAATTTGTTTTCAACCAACAGATTTACTCTTGAAGTGCAGTCACTATTTTGTAGGCAACACAGCAGACATTTTGAATATATCAAGATGTTGAAATAAACTTAATTGATTTGAAGCTGAAAATATTACACATTCTGAACTAAACAATGAATGTTACTTCAAATTGCAATGACTATTGTTTGCATTGACTGGAAAGTTAATGTGCAATCTTTACGAAAGGAGCACAGTTATTCAGTTCAGTATGAAATGCACATTCCTCCCATCGGATCAGTTGGTGTGTCCAGTACTGTGTTGCTGTTTTTTGTACTTTGAATATTCATAATTGCTTAAATTGGGTTGTATGAGACTCTGCAATTGGGGCAAGAGAACTGATTTTTTGCGGTGTAAATTCAGAGATTCGGCACAGGGACTGCTCTTTCCCAATTCAACCTAAAAGTCTTGATGTAAAAGCACCTTTTAAGAACACATCAATGACCATGGTAACATTAGAAAATATGAGATAATAAAGGATATCAGGCATGTTCCTTCCGTTAACATTGTATCACGCATGTCACCTGGTCAGTTTAATCTCCTGAGGTCTTTCTCATTATCAAGGACCTCAATCCCGGTTGCTTATGTGTTCATCTATCATGCAGTGTACAAGGTTGGGTATTTTTAAGCATGACCGTTTCTGATATGCATGGTCCATGTTCAACTTAGTATTGATTCGCTTCATCTGTGCTTAGCTATTTTTAAAGAAACTAATCAAAACATCTGGAAATGAAAATCATGTTTCCACCCTTCTGCATGAAGGAATCGAATCTTACTAGTCTTGTATCTTGCTTGAGACTGTATTTTTAGGTAATTGCTGTTAGTATAGGTTAAATATCCTACTTGTATCTGTTTCATTTAATTCTTGTATTTATTTTAAAAATGATTTTGTCTTAACTTTTGTCAAGTGAAAACAAATATTTAGATCTTTCTAACTCACTTTTGACTGTCCTGGAATTATCTGCCTTACTCTTTTCTGGAAACCTTCCCAGTACATTAATATTCCCTTGAATGTATTGAGCCCACAAATAATCTAAATTTTACATCACTAATGTGCATTAGAAGAATTTTACATTCATGTCTTCATAATGTGTTCTACTGCTAGTAGTTTTGTTGATAGTACTTCCATATTGACCTCCTACTCCAAATCATGAATCCTCTTGATTTTCCCAATCACAATCACTTAATTTATGTTCATTGTTCTAGTGCCTGATACCTTTTGTTATATTTTCAATGAAAATCTCACCTGTTCTTACAGATTCGGCCCAGCACTCATGCATCTTGTCACCTTTTGCCTCACATCTACATACTAGATTTTGTTTGGAATCAAAGCCCAACTGGTTGAACTTAGAAATATGTTATCTTCTATGGACATGACACCTGGTAACTTACTGTTTGAAGATTGCAATTATATAGAGACTTTAAAACTACTTTGAATAAACCGATTCTGTTGCTTGAAAGTGAATGTACTCTACAGTGGGAATTCTGTAAAGCCATTGGAATATATATCTTCATTTTTTTTGGTCTCTAGTCTTTTCATGTGTAACTCCTTATTTTCTCTTAATATAAACTATTATGCATTTACCCAGTTCTTTGAAGAAACAAGCAAATGGCAAAGGTTTCTGAGTTGGTGTTAGGGAAAACACAGATATTGAAATTATTTCTGAACAAACTTGCCTCGCAAATTGAGTAAGGATTAATTGTGTTGTCATCAAAAACTGGTTTACATGACACATGTTGAAGTTTATATATTTTTCACATCTATGCTTTTAAGCTCACTGTGCAATAAATGCCAATGTTGAAGTATTACCTATAATCTTTTCTACATCAAATTAATGTACTTTACATGCTTGATAACCCACTCTGTAGGTCCAGAATGACACAGTTCAGAAGTTAATTTTAATTGATCAGAGCAGTCGCTGAAAGCCCTGGAATATGAAAAACTTGAATACCACTGTCATATTTCTACTAGATGGAGCATTTAAAACCTTTTATTTCTATATTTAGAGTAACTTGCATTTGATCTATTGATGTTGCTTGTACACCATTGCACATTGTATATACTTCTGTTCATATTGCTCTGCCCTTGATCGCATTTTTGCCTTCTTTAAGGTAAGTTTCATAGAATCATTCTTAAATTCTAATTTTAAGAATCTAAAATTGGGTTACACCATAAATTTCGTCATGTAAAGCTATGCAGGAAGTTCACGCTTAAAGTTGCACTGCTTCTCTTTCACATTATATTAAGGCCTGCTTCTCCATGCTATGTTCACATTCCCAGTCTAGCTAGCCTGGCTTTGCCCCTGGAGTTATTTTCCTATAGCTCACGTGTCCTTGCTCCCACCCCCACCCCACACACAAAAAAGAACCGACTTTGCGTCTTTTTCTGGTCTCCCTGTGTTCATTGAGGCTGTGCACTTCTGACTATGGTCCCAAACCTGTACCAAAAGGCTCCATCAAATGGCTGAGGTTAGTCAGTGCAGCTCCCTGCACTGACTGCTGTCTGCCACTAGATGGAGGTTGATCAATCTTAAAACTACAGGTGAGTGTGTTTTTAAAAGTATTAATAATCTGTTGTACAGGGTGTGTACAATTCTGTATTTCTTTTAGAGTTAGTAATTTTATTTTGAAGTTATTTCAGCACGAGTGTACAGTGTGGTCAGTATTTCAACTTGAATATTGTTTTCTTCAGGGCAATAAATGTCCAAAGGAACTTTACTCTGACTTTGACATTGATTCCGATGAGAGCCTATACACTTAGTCATTTCACTTTAAGTCACGATTTTCAGGAGCATAACCACAACTTTAAGCAAGGACATCTGTATAAATATTGAACTGAATTCTATTTTAAGCTGCTTACTTCCTACAGATCATTTTTGAATTTTAGAACTTGAAGCTGACTCTAATCTCTATCCTTGCGATTCTTTCGTATTCTTGGATCTAATGTTTTTCTTTTAACTTTCAGCCTGACAAAATTCTTGGAGAAATTACATCCCTGTAGTTTATGAAATCGTCCATCTTTTAGACCAAATTAGACAGAGAAACAACCTTTTTAGAACTCCTACTAACCAAGAAAGAACTTCTAGCCTGCTTTGACCGGTATTGAAATAGACACTCTCTCTTGTGCCACAATGGCAAGTTTTGGCAGAGGCCAGAGCAATCAAATGCGTACTAAGAGGAAGAGTCGTTTTCACGATGCAGATGCTGGAGGTCTCGCTGCAGGTCCACCTCTGAATATCCAGGCAGCTCTTGGGACATTGTGCCAGAATCCACACTTGGCTGGCTTAATAAATTCTGGACAGGGTCAGAATTATGGCCTTCATGGTGCAGGACAGGGTCAGAACTTTGGCTTACAAGTTGCAGGATCGGGTCAGAACTTTGGCCCGCAAGGTGTGGGACAAAGATCTAAAGGTTTGATGTCAACAGCTGGTGGGCCGTCACGATACAGCGATACTGCTAGCAGTAGCTTGCCTTCCTTGTTTGGAGTTAGAAACCAGAATCCACAATCTCATGCTGTTCAGAAACAGATTGATGCAGACAGGGCCAGTAACATTCTAGCTGCATTTGGTCTTTCATCCAGGGATTTGGATGAACTGAGCCACTACCCTGAAGATAAGCTTACACCCGAATCCTTGCCAGAAATTCTTACGGAGATAAAGAGGAGAAGAGCTAATGAAGGAACAGCTTCAAAATACAACAGAGGTGACGGTTCTCCACGACATGACCGCTCCTACAGAGCCTCTCATGATGACTGGGAGGAAGAAAGACACTTTAGGAAACGTAATTATGCAAGTCGTGACTCCAGTCTTGACTCAATAGTTGAATATAGTCACGGTCATTCTTCTCGAGACTCAAGTGCTAGGTATGACCGGAAGGACTATGAACGTGAGCGATTAAGAGGCAGTGATGACTTCTCCAGAGAGGAAATGTGCCTCTCTGAGCCCTCACACAATTTCAATAAATTTGATTCTGATTATGGAAGAGCTGCTCATCTTCCTTCTCCTCGTACACATGAGAGGTCTCTCTTTGAGAGAAAACGAGGATCTCCTTCATTGAACAACATAAACGATTACCATGGTTTCTTGCCAGCAGTGTTCCCCCACTTGTGCTCGCTGTGTGATCTAACCATTCATTCTGTACAGGTGAGTGACCTCTAACTTCTTTAAGAATTGCTTAATAAAAAAACTATAACAGCTACAGCTTTTCTTGGACTTGGAAAACATCATTTGGTTTTAAGGTTCTCCCAGATGACTTTCTGGATAATCTTTGCTTCTGATGCATTTTTCAAAAATGTGATGCAGTTAAATCTACTTTCTACGCAGTCTTTTCTTTCAATGCACATGTTTCCATATAAATTAAGCTCTTATTGAATTTTGGGCTCACCATAGTATTTCAGCTAGATTTAGCTTCTGCACAGTCCTGACTGTGAACTTGAACCTCATTTTGTTCAAGTTTTGAGTAATGCAACATCACTATTAAATCAGTCTAGGTTAGAAATACAGAAAGCCTTATGACGTTTTCTAAGTCACTACTTTTTGGATCTGTTTTAAGAGATGATTTTATTTTTATTGCGTGGTCAGTATTTAACCATATTTCCTGACTTTATAGTCATATTTTCATATAGGTGGCATCACCCATTTAAACATTTTTTCTGTTCTGTCAAGTGGTAGCAGAAATCATTTTCAACGCTGCCACCATTTGAGATTTGGTGTTCAAAATAAAATCTGGCGTATTTGGCTTTTTGACAGTTTATATTACTGTCTTTTTTTTTTCCCCCTGTTCAAACTCTCTTTTACTCCTACCTTCTCTCTTTAACCTCCTATCAGTCTTGCATCTCCACTGATGGTGTTTCTTCCCTGTGCTCCTTAGCATAGGTTTACCTGCTTATGAGGAACAGTAGTTTCAGTTGCAACAGGATCCATGGGTATTGCTTTCCTTGTTTTGCCTTGCAAATTCATGGGCAATGGGAGAAATGTATTGTAAATAACCAAAACTTTGCGAAAGCAGTCAGTCATACATTTAAGACAAAAACTGGGTGGCTGGCATCTGGATTTCTGCCACCCTAATTACGTCTCATGGTTTACAAATGTAATGGTAATGCAGTTGTGAATTTCAATTTACCATGAAACATTTATATTCTATTATGAGGTTTTAGCATAAACCCAAATCAAGTTGAACTGTATTTGTCCCTGAATCTTTAAAGTTTGCTTCATAAGCATTTGGCTTCTAAAACTTAAATGCTTGGAGTGTTAACCCCATGGACTGTTGAGGAGCCAATCTCGACAATTTATCGCATTGATTGGCAAGTTAGTGGTAAAACTGAATCCATCAACAAAGGTAAGTGATTATTACCTTCCCGTAAAAATAATCAATGAAGTATGCATACAACAGTGTCTCACTTAATTTCAGACAATAGGTCTAAGCATTGTTGATGGAAATAAATGGTGCATTGCTAAATCTTTGGTATGTTGTTGCAAGGGCTGGATTCTACTGGCATTCCAAACATTTATAATAATGTGTCCAATAATCTTAATATCTGTTTTTATATTAAATCATATTTTACTGTTCCCAATGATTATGGAAAATGTGATGTTTTTAATAACATCAAAATAATATATACTTTATTCATTGTCAAAGTTATTATTTGATAGCAATAATATGTGCGATCGTAGATATCCTTACACATACAGGTGGGAATGTATTTCACAAGAACTGAAAATAATGTATTTTTCTTGACAGTTTTGGTACTACTTGCTGCGTAGTATGCAGCCAAATTATAGAAAGGCTAGTTTAGAAAAGATATGTGATCACATAGGACCACATGAAATTGGAACAGAAGTTGACCCCTCTAGTCTACCATTTGATAAAGTTGTGGTATTGACTCTACTTTACTGTCTCAGCCCTATAACCCTTGATTCCCTTGTTATTGAATAATCACTTATGCAACCTTGAAATTATACAATGATAAAGGTCCATCTTTTCCTTATAAGATAGCCCCTTCATTTCAGGAATCAATTGAGTGAATCTTACCTGAAATGCTTCTAATGCAGTTATATCCTTAAATAAAGAAATCAATGCTACTTAGTACTCATTGTGACAGAATCATGAAGTTCTGTGGTTTTCCTTTTCTGCCCTTGTTCAATTTGGCAATTGAAGCTGTACTTTCGTGGCCTCTAATAGGTTGTCTTGAAATTATTCATGACCAATTTTCACAAAATGTACTTGCACACAATATATGTGAGAGGAGAAATGACTAGGTTTTTGTTTTCTTATTCTTCAGTTTCTCCCCCATTGTTCCTTCGTCACTTTTTAAAATACAAATCCTTTCTGTCTTTTTCATAATAAGTGGAAGACTTCCAAATCCTGTTTATGGAAAAGTTCTGTAATTGTTCAGGAAGTGTTGCTGAAAACTGTAGAATGTTACGTTATTCACTCATGGGCTGTGGGCATTGCTGGCTGGGCCAGCATTTATTGCCTATCTCTACTTGTCCTTGAGAAGGCAATGGTGAGCTCCTGTCCTGAACTGCTGCAATTGGTTTTAACAAAACCATAATTTTATAACTGTTGGTTAAAGTGCACTGAGCACCTGGCAGTAATTATTTAATAGATCTATGAAAAAAAATTATTGAAGCATTTATTCAGCACTTTGTTCCAGATATCATTTGACTTAACATTTCTTTTATTCTCTTATTTATACATTCCTTTATAATTAGATACAAAGCGCAAGTTGAAATATTATTTTAAATGAATTGATTTTATTTGCAAATTATCTGTGTCTCCTAGTTAACTGCAGGTTGTTAAATATATTCTGTCCTATCACTATTAAATTCTACATTTCTTATGAAGACCTCCAACCTGTGTTCTCTATAGATGGCATTGTGACAGTAATTTCTCCATTTTCAATCTGACTTAATTTTGTACAGATTACTGCATAGATGTTTGAAGGAGTTATGTGGCACTACATTTTTAAAATTTCTTTCACTTTTCAGAAAATGAGATTTAAAAAATTAAGCTTAAAAGTCTGCCCAAGAATTTACAATGTTTCTTGCTGGCTGGCTGAATTCCCTTCAAACAGATTTTGCATATGTTCTCAACTACGAATTCTTGTTGCTCCAGCTTCTTAGTTTCTGAATGATCTCTCTTTCCACCTTCAGTGTCCTGTTTTAAGCTTTGAATACCTTGCCTTTAGCTGCTACATGACATTTCCTGAGCCTTGCTGGCTTGACATTGGCCTTGAAAACTCTTTTTCCCCCTCCCATTCTTTGCTGTGAAATCTTCCTGCCACCTCTTAAATACTTCGCAGTCCATCTTGTGGATGATCCTGATAATTATCTGCATAAAATTAATTACACATCACAATGTTCATTGTAAGGAATGTATGAACTAAAATGCTTTGTTAATCTACGTAGTATGAATTCACTGAAATAGGTGTGTGTTGCATCAGGCGAGTTTGGAACACAACTTTAAAAACAGAAGAGGAGAGTGGAAGGAAATTGAATTGCTGAGAAATGCTTTGAAATTCTGTTGATTGGGTCCAATAAATCTGCAGTGAAAGAAAGTTGTGTTGAAGATTGTGTATTTAGTAGTGGGGCTGGTAACTTTAAAAGAGTTATTGAAGTAGCATTGTGGAGTGATGAGCTACATTTAAGAGTGAATTCCATTTCTAGAAGTATCCCATAATTTTAGCAACCCATTGGAGGGGGTTAGGGTGTGAGGATAATGGTGTTGGGGGTTGAATCTAGGAATTTTTGGCAAATGAATTTTTGTTGATGGGTGAGGGCTTATAACATGAAGATTCATGTGCGGTCAAGCTCCATAACAATTAATGGTGTTGAATTGGAAGGGAAGTCACTGTAGGAGACTCTCTGGCTATGACTGGATAGATAAGATCATAGCAGACAGAGGGTAATTGTGAAGGGCTGTTTTCTGACTAGCGGTCAGTGCTGGGACCTCTGTGTTCATAATATAACAAACATTGTTTTAACCAGCATCTTATGAACTGGCACTCCTGATAAACTGGCAAAAATTATACACCTCAAACAGAGTGATGTTTACTGTATTATTATGTCCAGTTATTATAGTTTTAAAGGTTTATTTGTCTCAATATAAATATATTTGTTCAATCAAATGGCCTCATGAAATATCAACAGTTCATTCAATTTCGAGTCAATTTCTTCTCAAATACCGTGATCTTTGGTGATGTCCGACTCAGTTAAGGGTGCGAGTGAGAAGGCTCACTGCTGGTAAGTTTTATTTCTGGCAATGTTGCATTATTATTTAAGTGTTGTATGCTGTAAAATATAACAATGATGTGTATACCTGTTGTATTACACTTCTATTATTTAGTGTGTGTTTTTGCATTATTAATGTCTTGATTATCTGGAATATCTGAACAATCGGCGCACTCCTGATCCCATAGGTATTGGATAATAAATTTATATATAAACGATTTGGATGCAGATGATGGTCTGATTAGTATGTTTTGCAGAAGATTGGTGCAGTTGTGGATAGTGAGGAAAGTTATCAAGGGATATAGTAGGATATAGATCAGTTGGAAAGTTGGGTGAAGAATTAACAGATGGAGCTTGATCTAGGCAAGTGTGAGGTGATGCAAATTGGCAGATCAAACACAAGAAGAAAGTTTACAATAAATGGCAGGACCCTTAGGAGCATTGATACACAGAGTGATCTTGGCATGTAAGTCCATAGTTCCATGAAAGTGGAACACAAGTGAATAAGGTGGTAAAGAAGCATAAGACATGCTTGCCTTCATTGGTTGGGGCATTGATAATAAAAGTTAGCAGGTCACATTGCAGCTGTGTCAAAATTTTAGTTAGGCCACATTTGAGTATTGTGTGCAGTTCTGGTCACAACACTATAGGAAGGATTTGGAGGGAATGCAAAAAAGATTTACCAAGTTGTTGCCTGGGTTGGAGTTTATTGGCTGTAAGGAAAAATAAATTGGATAAATTTGGATTGTTTTTGCCAAAATGATGGAGGCTGAGGGGCGACCTGATGGAAATGTATATAGTTGAGAGGCATGATTTGGCTAGATTGTCTGAGTCTTTCCCCCAGGGTGGAAATGTCAAATTCTGGTATGTGTAGTTTTTAAGTGAGAGGGGAAAACTTATTAAAGGAGATGTGCAAGGCAAGTTTTTTACACTGGGTGATAGTTGCCTGGAAGGCATTGTCAAGGGAGGTGGAAGAAGCAAATCTGATAGCAATATTTAAGAGGTATTTAGACACGTGAACAGGAGGGTATGGAGGAATATGGACCATGTGCAAGCAGGTTGGATTAGTTTAGGAAGATATTGTGCTGGGCGCAGACTAGGTGGGTCAAAGGGTCTGTTCGGTGCTGTGCTGTTTTTATTGTAAAGGATTACGTTTTATTCTGTTTGATCTCATGTCAGCAAATTTATTCAAATGGGTACTCAAGCTGGCTCCAACAGAAACAGTTTACATTTATATGTTTTCACAACGCAAGACATAAGGTGATAGGACAAGTAAACAAAAACTTAGTCAAATCAAGTAGGTCTTAAAGGGAGGGGGGGTTAATAAAAAACAAAGTAGTGAAGTAACAAGGTGTGTAGGGAGAAAATTCTAGTCCTTAAGGAGTGGGCAGCTGAAGGGGCAATTAAAATTGGAATGCTCAAGATGTGGAATTATTGGAGTTCGGACACCTTGGAAGATATAGGGCTGAGGAGATCCGAGAGATGGGGAAGGACTACGCCATGGAGGAATTCATTCTCTTTAGACAAGAGCAACCTTGGAGAACATACTAAGCCAAGACTCCAATCACATGAACATTTTCGAAATAGAGTAGTCAACGTTCATGTTAATGGGCTGCTCCTCCATCATGAGAATGAAGCAATGGGAGAAACTTAAAATTCATACTTTACATGCAGGCTGTGTCATGTGTTTGTTAATAAAAAGATTAAAGCATAAAACCTACAAATCAGTTGCACTCTGTGCAAAATTTCAGTTTGACATGTCCTATGAAAATGCTTAAGAATATCTATTAATATAGAAAATAAACGTGAGCAAGGAGCTTTTAATATGTCTGTAAACCTCTGACTAGAAGTTTGTCTTGTGTCGTTATATGGTTGAGACTTCTTCATGTGTAAGAAAGTTGTTCTCCTTCAAATCTCAGCGTTACCATTGTTAAAACATTGTATTTAATGGTGATCTTTTGCTTGGCTGGTGATTCTGTTTACTATTTAGCTTGGTATCTCAAGCCATCATATTTGGGTGATATGGAGGAACTGGCAGGAAGCTGGGATGGGAAATATTTAAATTCTCAACAGTGCTAGTTTGAAGGAAACTGGTGCATGATAGTTCTTTTTAAAAAAAAATAGTCATCGTGCTGCCTGTCATAATGCTGGCTGGAGAATATACCCACTGGGCTTCATCCACTTAAAGATTAAAATCCTTATGCTTGGTCCACTTGTCACTTCCAGTTCTTTACATTTCTATTTCAGTTCCTATATAATTATCAAGAATAACAAATTTAGATTGATATCTAATTCATATCTGAAGTACAAAAGTTTCACATACAATAAATTACTTCAAAAGTTTGGTGACTTGCTGCGTAAGCAAATGCAGAATGGGATCTCATAAATATATATGTGAGATGAATTACTGTTTCACTTCTTTGATCAAAAGAAAACTGATCATTAGCCAAGGCATAGGACAACTCTACATGTCTTTGAATAGTGTTACAGACCTTTAATATCTGTTGAAATAGATAGAATGGCAAACATGCTATCAAACTAGGTAACTTGTTACAAGAACTGTAAATTAATGTAAATACACCTTTCAAAGTTTTGCACAAGCTCCCAATTCCCCTTTGGGCATAATTGTTGATTGCTGTCAGT